ACCACACTTACAAATATCTATACATTTCATTATTAGAAAACATTTATTTTTTTGTTTGTTATATCCAATTAATTCATATAAATCTAAACTTTATCAAATTTATCATATTGTTTTATAATTTATACGAATAATGAAAATCAATTTTACACTCAAACATTTGCATATGTTTTGATTAATTTTACATATAAAAATGTTTAAACTAATTGCATTAATTTAATCAAAGGTAATGAATTTTATTATATTCATACATAATACATATCATTTTTGTACGTTTATAGATATTATAAATTATATACTTTGTCATATGTTTAAATATAAAAAATTATATATATTAAAATCGATAAATCGACCTATTTAATTATTTCATTCCGCGTTTGCTGCGGGATCAAAATCTAGTAAGTCAATAATTCTAGAACAAACAAAAAAATGATATACCCATTTAATAAAATATTAGAAAGCTGGTTTCTAAAGCATTAGAAAGCCAAAAACTATGGGTTACTTACTGTAGAGTGGGTAAAGCACTAATCTGAAAAAAAATACACATCAATGATAAGAATATATACACAAATACCCTTACGCACATAATGAGATATTAAGTTTTTTTTTATATATATATAAAGAGAGATATTAAGTTCATCAAATAAAATTGAACTCAGTTGTCGGATATATCATGTCGGATACTTTGATATATGCGATCAATAGAATATTCTTTTCTTCTTAGTGCATGAATCTTTCAGAAAAAAAAAAATCTACATAAAAGTAATTACAAGAGATTAAGAGAACTAACAAAAAGAGTTTAAACGGATAGCTTTTCTGATTAAAAAAAAAAAAATCACACGCTACATCGTGGAATGATAATTTAATATCAATGATAAATGAATAGAAAACTAAGGGTATTATTTTGGGAAGAATATATTTATGGATCTATTCCTACAAAACTTTGCACTTTATATTAACTAGTCAACTGCGTTTAATCGAAAAATAAATTTATACAAAAAGGAGAGTTATTTTGGGCCACGGGTACAAGGAAAGATCTTTGAAGACACTCTGTCTCAAACTATGGTCGGGCCAGACGTCTTGATCAGTCGTTAAAATGCTGCGTCCTTATTATCATTGTCTTCATGCAAAGGCATTAAGTGCATACATTATTGACAAATTAAAAAAAATGCCACTTTTCAAATGCCACTTTATAAAAATGTGACACTTTAAAAATTTTCATTTTTACAAAAATGTCACTTTTCCAAC